GTGTACATTGTACTTGTCAGTAGGCCTTAAAAAAAAACTTGTCTGTAAAGGCTTCTTGTCCAATAGTTTCCATACTATGCAGAAAATATCAAGAGTTCTTTATGTGGAGTATTGTCTGTCCCTGACTTAGAAAGTCTGACTTATAAATGTCCCCATCAGGATTAGTGTGTGTGTGTATATGTGTGTATATATATATGTGTGTGTGTGTGTATATATATGTGTGTATATATATATTTTTTGGAAATGGAGTCTCACTCTGTCATCCAGGCTGGAGTACAGTGGTGCGATCTCAGCTCACTGCAACCTCCGACTGCCGGGTTCAAGCAATTCTCCTACCTCAGCCTCCTGAGTAGCTGGGACCACAGGCGCACGCCACCATGCCTGTCTAATTTTTTATATTTTTAGTATAGACGGGGTTTCACCTTGCTGGCCAGGCTGGTCTCAAACTCCTGACCTCGTGCTCTGCCCGCCTCAGCCTCCAAAGTGCTGAGATTACAAGCATGAGCCACCGCGCCCAGCCCCGATAACTAGAATTTTTTGACAAGCTTTTTTTTTTTTCCCCTTGTTTTTCTTCCTTTTTGGATGAATCTCTCTGGAGTATAACTTCCAGGACTCAGATATGCCTTATTTCCTTTCTTCTCCTTCTGCTGCATTTATGGACAGGGGATAGGACTACTGTGTTCCTAAAACCCATAATTCTCCATGTGTTGTGTATAATCAGTATTTTACTTAGTAATGAGGTATTTTACAACTAAGGTTTAACCGTATCATGGCTTAAGTGGCGTTTACAATTTGGCATGGGATCACATGGTTATATATAATATTGCTTCCATGAAGAAATATATTCTTATTTCCAAATCTCCATTTTATGAATAATATATAATCATTCCTATCAGTGTTTCTGTAATTGGGTTGCACGTTTATAATGCTGTATATCAGAATGTTAAAATTAAGCTTCATTAAGTACTGCATGTTGATAGCAATCAGTATAGAGGTGAGGAAAGTAAAGAGAAAGAATAATACTCATTTTAATAGTAGTTGCTTGTTACACTTTTTTCTTAATTCAGTTCGGACACTTCCAAGATTTTTACATGTAATAAAGGGATTTGGGAGGCTTTAGAGAGAATGTTTATTCTTAATCAGAGATGTAGTTGCATTTATTTACTGATTTAAAAAAGCAAGTCTTAAGACCCAGTGCAGTTTTCTAGTGTTAATTATTTTTCTTTCCAACTTCAATTAAATGAAGCCCTCAAAATGAAATATGTGAAAATGTTACCTTAATATCTTTAAGTAGAATTATAGCATGTTTATTTCACTTGAAAGTCTTAATGGAATAAATTATAAGCCCTTCTAGCAACACATATTTTAAAATATAATATGTGAAAAACTAAGTAGAGACCATTTTGCTATTTCACAGAAAATTATAACAGGTGAAAATTAAGATGTTACTCAATTCTTTGATGCAGTAGTCTCATGCCTCATCTGCCCTGCAAAGGGAGAAAAAAGTCTTTTGACTTCTTGAGCAACTATTTGATGTTACTCTTTCATGTTGATATTTTTGTCTCTACCTATAAAAGAATGCTATATGGAAGTTTCCCAGCAATGATTAAGAAAGGGTGAGTTTAATAACTGAGAAATACATGTTATGATCTTGGCATCATCACTCATATTTATACAACTTTTCTGATCCTCATTTTTTTCCCCTATCAAGTGAGGTTTACAGTGGAGACATATTTTCAAAGCACTGAGCTGGGCATACTGCGTTTGGAAACCCTAAGTAACAAGTCAGTGACGGAATTTGAATTAAGACCCCAAATTCCTTCCTCTCCATTTTATACTTCTTTTTGTGACTCAGCCTAATCCTTTTAGGGAAGTATTCAAACCACATCTGCCTGAGTCTCCTGCCAATTTCCTTTAAACCCCAGTGTTCGCTGAATCAGCCTCCTGCCAGCTGTCCTCCAACTAAAAGCAATAAGGTTTACATTCTCACTTTCTTGGTTAAAAAATATCTTGCCTAAACAAAGAACTTCTTTTACTATCCTAATACCTTCTGTAGGCTGTCCTGCTTTTCCACTTAAAGCATTTCTGTATATTGCCTCTTTAAGGGACTTTTCCCAAGGCAAAAACCACACAGCAGTAATATATGTTCTTTTGCACTTGGGGCGTTTTCAGTGGAACCTGAAGCTTGATCAAGATTAATGCTTTAAAGGGAATATGAAGTTAAGGTGCTGGTGTTGTTAGGTTTATGGATGTCTGATTGCATTTTTAATATGTGAGCCTGCAATTGGAAATGGCCTCAACAGCTTGTATATTCTGGAAATACCCAGACTTCCCTACCTCCGGAAACTTGGTGTTTCCTTCCTTTCCGATTCCTTCAACTGTCATCAGCTTAGATTCTGCCAAAGCCAAACTTAGACTCATTTTCTCTCCTTGTTCTAACACAGGTCCCTGTTGAGCCTATCCATGACAAGTCCTAGTGATCAGTAAGGGAGAATAGCCCCAGCATTGGAGCTCATCTCCCTGAAATTATCTTCACCCTCCTTCCACCACCAGGCTCAGGCTTCACACTCTAGCCCATGTGCCAGTTTGTATAAAATATACTGACTAATTATAGTCTATACTATGCATTAATGGGTGCTGCTGTGAAATTTTAATGACTCTCAATCTCAAATTGTGGGCCTAAACCCCTGCTATTATGATCCATATAGCCCTTTAGGGACCAAGTTTGCCCAGCTTCATATTCCCCATCAGTACCAAGTGTGCATCAGATATTGTGTATCTTCACTTACTTAAGTGGAATAGGAATAAGAATGACAGAACACATTTTTTCTTTAGTGTATGTCACTCTTATTGTTACTGATACTGTGAACAATAATAATAAATGATGCTGGAAATCTCAAAAAGGTTATGGGCTTGTTACAGGGATAAAGAGTATAGTAAGAACCCTTAAGATTGTATTCTGCTCTGTAGTTGGGGTACCTCTGGGGAGGAAAGCAAAGATACCAAAGCTTACGTTTTGCAGGCTTCACAGAACAGATGATATAGTAGAATAGCTGTTTCCTTCTCATCTACCCCCACCTGGCTTCCTGTCCGTAAGTGAATATCATCTGCCTTGATCTTCCTGAAATATTTTGTCTTTAATATAACTTCTAAGTATGCTAGCCCCAAGAATGGAAACAAGGAATTTTCATTAGGAAAATAACATTTATGGGAGCCTTTCTTTTAAGCAGTGTGTGTGTGTGTGTTTGTGTGTGTGTGTGTGTGTCTGAGAGAGAGAGAGTTGGGGAGGGTGGGAGGGAAGAGAAAGAGAGAGAAGGGGGAAAAGACAGAGGGAGGGTAATGGGGGAGAGGGAGAATGGGAGAATATGGGTATGAATATGAATGAATAAATAAGTGAATGAATGAATGAATACTAGATGTGACTGGAGGAAAGGTCTTGTATACTTGATAGCCCAGTGAGAAACTCCGTACATATTTTCCTATGTAATCATTGTAGTCTGATTTAATACGTTATTTAAGGACTTTTTTTCTTCTTTTTTGAAAGTATTATAAGTTCCGAGATACATGTGCAGAATGTGCAGGTTTGTTACATAGGTATATATGTGCTATGGTGGTTTAGGAAGTGCATTAAACTTCGGAAGCTGTTTTAGAGGTGACTAAACCTTAGGAACACAGCCTGTTGGAGAGTTAGGTTCTGCCAGGTACGTTATTTTATTAGGCAATATTGTAAAAGCCGTGTTCTAAAGCTAACGTAACGAAAGGGATCACCAACTTTGATTATATTTTTCACACATATAAGAAAATGAAAGAACTGGAAATCTAATATTGTACTAGAAATAACTTTCTGAACAGATTATTTTTAAAAAGTGCAATAAAAATGGCTCAGGTTTCATTTAAATTGAATGGGATTTAATTTAAATAATGCTGCCAAATTTATAATAATAAGCCTTTTTTCCACCTTCTCTGACTTGTTTGATATATTTGAATGGTTTCCTGGAAGGTAAAGTCTGGTACTGTAAAATAAAAGGAACAGTAGGCCATGTTGTCAGCTGGGAGCGGTGGCTTACGTCTGTAATCCCAGTGCTTTGGGAAGCCGAGGCAGGCAGATCATGAGGTTAAGAGATTGAGACCATCCTGGCCAACATGGTGAAACCCTGTCTCTACTAAAAATACAAAAATTAGTTGGGCGTGGTGGCGGGCGCCTATAGTCCCAGCTACTCAGGAGGCTGAGGTAGGAGAATCGCTTAAACTGTGGAGGCGGAGGTTGCAGAGATCTGAGACCACGCCGCTGCACTCCAGCCTGGGCGACAGAGTGAGACTGTGTCTCAAAAATAAATAAAAAATAAAAATAAAATAAAATAAATAAAGTAGCTTCGAGGAGAGTGAGAGAGGTGGAAATAGAAACCTTGTTTCTTTAATGAAAGTTCAAAAGGAGAGAGAAGTGACAGAGGCAGAGGAAACTGAAAGTCAGGTGATAGAGAGCATGCCTCTTGGTAACCGTAGCTGGAAAACAAATAGCAACCCAAAGTGGCCTGTCAGCCATTTTATCTTCTCTGTTCCTTGATGCCCATTTTTTTTTTTAATTCCCTCTATTAAGGTCTGCCTGTCACTCTTCTTTCATCTTCTCTCTCTGCCTCTTCATGTCTTTCCATTTTCTGGCTCTCTCATATAATTCTTTGTTATCTTCAGTTTATTTATGTTTTGTAAAGAAACTATAATAGTGTAATAAAAATGGAAGGCGTTATTTAAAAAAAAAAGCCATCTGATGTAAGTCAGTAGGGATTTTTAGGTTAAAAAAGAAAAAAAAATCAGAAATTTTTTTCACATTTAATAGTCTAATATATCTCTAAATGTCTTTGAAGTATATAAGACTTTGAGCTTTCTGAAAACACGGTTTTTCATTAATAGTTCTCAACAGTATTTTAGCTGTTGCAAAGTAGTTTTTAGATAGTCATTTACTTTTGGTAAGAGTGTGTAATCACGTGTTCTTTCTCTTATAGATTTGCCTTTTACAAGTCTACCTCTCGGAGAAGAAATGATGGCAAATAACTTTTCCTGGGAGAGTCATAACATATCACTGACTGGTAAATGTATCTTGTTTCAAATAAGGCAATTCCAAAATAAGAGTTTAAGCAATTTTTCTTAAACAAAGCTGCTGCTTTTTGCTTTGTGAAGTGGTAATCCCTGTTCCTGGCCTGGTGGGAAAAACATACCAGTAGTGTGCTGGGAATCTCATGTGGTGAGGATGTTTTACTGGGGGCGCACAAAGGAGGAAAATATTCCAGACATGCTAGGGCTAAGAATGGCTCCCCAGAAAATGGATACCTGAGAAAAGGGAGAATCAATTTTGATTTGCAGATACTCTTATGTTTTCATTAATTCCTGCTGGTACATCCATTACATCACTGTAGGTCAAGAAGAGAATTTGTGTATCTATTGGAAGACCTTTAGCCAGAGAAAGTAAAGATGATATCAAATGAGTCACTGTGCTAAGGAGAAGCAAGAAAGGAACTCCAAAATTAAACCCAGCCCTGCTTTCTCTGCTTTTTCTTTCACAGTTTTGGATTCCATGTTTCCAAAGTAATCTCAGTCTTTTAAATTCCTAAGAGTGATCAATCTGGTTTAGGAACAATATTAAAATTGTATAATTAGAATTTAAAACATCACAAACCTAGCTATTAAATCAATAGTTAGGTTTTTCCAAATACACATCTAGTTTTTTACTATCCTCTAGTCTTATGAACTGTTTCTCTATTTCTGTTTAATATGAATAGAAAGTGTGTGTGTGCGTACCTGTTTCCAAATCTGATAGGAATGGAATGTTTGCATTGAGCTTTTTGAGGGAGCATTTTTGTAACTTTGTACAGCTTTTGTTTGTTCCCAAATGTATGGAGTTTTGTTTGTTTCCAATGTATGGAGTTCATTATTGTAAAAAATAATTATTATAATTTTCCTATGTTCTTTTACTTTTTTCACGTTCTAGTTGTTGGTTGCCTCTGTTATGATGAAATGTTTCTTTAAGAGACTCATGTGAGAAAGCAGTTTGCACATTCTTTAACCAGGCTGGCAATGTCGGCAGCAGGGCACCCCTTACTCAACCAGTACAGCTGTGGCCTGGAAACAAAACGGTCAATGCTCAGGGCAGGAACAAAAAAATGGACTTTTTAATTGTTACCAGGCTGGTTATTTACTTACTTAACCTGTTTGGAGGGTTTAACTCCTATTCTTTTATTCTAAATAGTGCTATTTAAAGCCGTATTCCCACTGTTAAAAAGAGACTAATTGTTTGCCTTTATCCATTACTTACCTCTGTCTTGGCTTGATTAAACTTTAGTCTGTCCTTTTTCTTCCTTACAGACCCGTGAAGTGTGGCTTGCCCTAAGTCCGAGCAAGCATTAAAATAAAGAACATCTTGAGAATTGGCTGACTGCAGCCCGGTCATACTGTCTGTGTACACTCTTTCATTTGCCCAATTTCCCTAAAAAGTTCTTGCTTCATTGCTTATCCCATATTAAAAAATAACCTTTTTCTGTTTACTTTTGGGAGGCTTGCAGATCTTAAGTTTGGAGCTTTTTCTCTATTGCAATAGTCTTTTATAAAATAATGTCTTCAGTCTGGGCATGGTGGCTCACATCTGTAATCCCAGCACTTTGAGAGGCCAGGGCGGGTGGTTCACTTGATGTCAGGAGTTCAAGACCAGCCTGGCCAACATGGCAAAACCTTGTCACTACTGAAAATACAAAAATTAGCTGGGCATGGTAGCGGATGCCTGTAGTCCCAGCTACTTGGGTGGCTGAGGCAGGAGAATCGCTTGAACCCAGGAGTTGGAGTTTTCAGTGAGCTGAAGTTGAGCCACTGCACTCCAGCCTGGGGAACAGAGTGAGACTCTGTCAAATAATAATAATAATAAAAATAATGTCTTCATTTAAGTTTGGATTTGTTTTTGACAAAAGAAAAGATTTGACGTTAATTTAGAAACATTAGATCTCAGAGTCGGGCACTGAACGGTTACATTTCCATGTAGGTTGTTGCTCTAGTTGCCTTGCCATCAAAAAGTTTGGTTTTAGAAGCTACCTTTACTGAACTATGGAATTTAAATTTGAAGATACATTTATAATTTTTAGTGTCAATGTAAAATAAAAATATCGAGATGAATCTCTAAACAAAATGTTCTGTTTGGTAGAACAGAATTGGAGTTCAGGGCATACACAGAGAGTAGAATGGTCTTCAGTATGACTGAAAAACAAAGAGAAGCTTAGAGGTTTTATTAGAGAGAAATGTTATATATTGTTTTGGAAGAAAACTCATTATTAGCAGTAACAAAGTTTTTGGGAGCTTACAAGCTCTGACTGGTGAGTGATGGAGGTCGGTAAATTAGTCTTAGAGTCATGGTGGTTTGTTTCAGAAGCTGCTAGGTAAAACTGGTTTTAAAGTTATACCAGGTCATTTCAGCAGCTGGTTTGCAGTATTAGTCCCAGGCAGGTGCTTTGTGTCCCAAGTGTGTGTGTTTTTTTTTTTCTTTATTACCGGGTCTCTGGTCTAGTTTAGTTGAATATGACAAGGTAACTCCAATTCCTGATTATCAAATTTCACCTTATCAACTATAGACTTTCTTCATACTGTTGTTAAGATTTTTAACTTACTATTTGTAAATGGAGTGTTTTCATATTTTCATAATGTTGTTTGATATATATCAATATTGATTTTATTATTCGTGTTTGTCTATAAACAATAGTTACGACATTTCTATGTTGTTACTTATTATTTTCTTTTTCCCTCTGGCCATTGTTGAAGTTAACCTCTCTGTTAGGATAAAATGTTTCTTGTAGAGAGATTCAGATACAATACGTTAATTGTAAATTTTGGACTTTGGTCTGGCTCTTTACATATATACTTATCCAAAGATTCTTGAGACTGGAAAACATATGGATTCTTGTGTCTGGGAGAATGAAAACATGGCCTTTGATTCATAAAAGCTTAGTTGTTTACTTATTTTAATATTTTTAAAATATTGCTAATTATTTACTTAACAAACTCATGATGTTGACTATGTACCATGTTTGTATTTCTAAATAACTTAATTCTTATAACAGCTCAATGAGTTGGGTACTGTTATTATTTGTAATTTGCAGGTGAGGAAGGAGAGGCACAAAGAGATGAAGTGAACTGACCAGGATCACAGTTCCTGAGCTGGAGCTTACAGTTTTAAATGCAGGCAGCTTGGTGCCCAGTCTGTGCTGTTAACCATTATGCTTTGCAGCCTTTCTTAATGCCCAGTTACTTGTTTCTTTTAACAGCATTATTAAATCAATTATATTTATTTTAAGAAGAATGACATTAGTTTTGAATGATGTAGTAAACTACGAAAATAAAGCTATTTTCTAGATTTATTGCTATTTCTAGGTTTATTTAGTAATAAAGCTATTGCTTCATAAGTTGCATTTGCTGCCTGCAATCCCAGCACTTTGGGAGGCCCAGGCAGGCGATCACCAGAGGTCAGGAGTTCGAGACCAGCCTGGCCAACATAGCGAAACCCTGTCTCTACCAAAAATACAAAAATTAGCCAAGTGTGGTGGCAGGCACCTGTATTCCCTTCTACCTAGGAGGCTGAGGCAGGAGAATCACTTGAACCTGGGAGGCGGAGGTTGCAGTGAGCTGAGATTGCGCCACTGCACTCCAGCCTGGGTGACAGAACAAGAGTCCATCTCCCCTGCCCCCCAGAAAAAAAGAAATTGCACTTGCTTAATCTTAAATTTGTGAAAGTAATTGACTGAAACTAAAAGTATTTTTTTCTGCTCTTAGGGGTTTTAAAACAGAGCTTTTCATAATGGACTATTTTTATATCACTGTACTTAATTTTTGAATGTTCATAGTATTTGGAATTCATTATATTATTTGTATTACCACCATATATTTTTATTTTTGCTTTTTTCCTCTCTGCATGTTAGTGTTTAGTTTCTCAATCCATGTGTTATAATTTAACGGAAGACATTGAAATAAAAATAAACAGTTGACAGTTACCTTGACCAACTTGTTAACGTTGGAATCAGCTCGCCTGTGATGACCCAGTGGCACATTTTATTTACATGTTGAGATGTGAGCAGCTGTCCCACAAAGTCCTTGTGAGCCAAGGAGGTAATATAAGCAGACATTAGAGGTGCAGATGTGCAAATTAAGGCACAATGTAAGATTCGGGAAGATTAGTCAAGATAAGGAAAGACAACCACATAGTCTAAATCTAGGCCAGCAAGAGGTCTAGGTTAGGACCACCCAGATTCTAGGGGCAGGTGATTGATAAGATTGAGAAGAAGAAAATAAGTGAAAATACTTCATTGCAGAAAGGATCCTAGCATGACTCCAGTGCTGCAAATGTTATAATATTTTTCAAAGGCACTCATCAAACCTGATATGTAGACTGTTGATGTACAGAGAAAAAAACTGAGACCTAACATTCGTAGAGAGTCAGAGAAAGCAAAGATGGAAGAGGGATCTACCCATAGCAACACAAGTGGCAGTGGCTGTGATCAACTTTTGTTCTATATCAGGTGCTTGTTTGTTTTTGTTTTGGTTTTTATTAACAGAGGTATTGATGTTTGGGGCTGGATGATTCTTGGTTGTTGGAGGTTGTTTGCAGAATTGTAGGCTGTTTAACAGCATTCCTAGCCATTGCCCACTAGATGTGAGTAGCACTTGCTAAGTTATGACAGCTGGATATGTCTCCAGATACTGCCAAACATTCCCTGGGGGACAAAATTTTCCCTATTTGAAAATTACCCCCACTGTTCTACACGTTAAAAATGAGAGCCCTGCACATGTTTCCCATCCCTTTATTGTGGGAATACACATGATTTAATAATATTGTGATTAACATTTAGTAAAGAATCTCACCATAAAGTTAGATGATGGTGCTGAATCACAGGCACAGGACCTCACACTCTATAAGTGGGACCTGTCTCTTCCTTCCCTCCTACTGGTGTTCAAATCCTTCCTCTCCTTAAGAATGGAGCCAAGAGCCCATCTTCAATAAAGCACATAGCAGAGAAGCACATATGTTCCTGCTTCTCTGATATGTATTTACTGTATT